AGGCTTTGATAAACATATCACTTTAATTCTCTTTATTTCTAATTGGCCTTCAGCAGGAGAAAGCTCAGCTCCAAGTCAGTGAGACTTGAGTCAGAGATGTAGCATACCCATCATGGATATTGATCTCAGCCAAGCAAATTGTTCTGGAGCAGATTCCATTGGCCTTAGGAATAACCACTCTTCTTTAGATGATAGAAATATATGGGTTGGCTATAGCAAAAGATCTGTTTGACCAATTGGAAATTACAATCAATCTATATATTCATGTTTAGACAGCCCTGATGGATTTCCTGCATTAGTTTTTGTTTAAAAGCTGACTAGTAAGCAAGTGATAGTTACATTGCTCCTGTGATGATAGCGTACCTTAGAATGATATCATCTGGTTTTGCCCTTAAATGTGGAAATGTGAAATGAATCTAAATAGAGTATCTATTATTTCTTCCTGGCTGATTTTCAAACAGTTGTGTGGTAGAGCCTCTATCCTTATTACATAGCTCAGCATAAAAGTATTTAGAAATAGAATTAGGTACCTTTCACCTCAGGAAGGTGAGATCAGTAGAGCAGTAGAACCCAAATTACTGAGGTAAGATCAAATTCAACTGTAGATAACAATATCTAATTTTTCTTTCTGCCACAATGTCCTAATTCCATTTTACAGGAGAATGTAACTACCTTCTGGATGTGTATTAATTTGAAATAATCAAACCATTTGTTTGAAATGTATAAACAGACATGCATGAAAATGAGGACATTTTCATCTAGTTTTTGTTTTTAGCCAAATTCACAAAACAAAGTCAGGAAAATGGGAAATGGAAATGCACAAAATTAGCAGACTTTGTTTCCGCCTAGACACTTGTAATCAATACAGTACCACTGATGTACCCCAATTTTTACATTCTGAATACAATCTACTGTCTGTAGACCCTTCTGCCTGCCACTGGAGGCCACTGTGAGATTAAATTTAGAATCCATCTTCTATTCAGTGAGTCTGGTTTCAAGATTTTCTAGCAAAGTAGTTTTTTTTTCTTTATAAAATGTAAATACACAATATAATTATTACAAAGTACCTGCATTGTAAAAATCCATTCACTGAGTTGTGATCTGGAAAATGAAACTATTAAATTATCATAGCCAAGTAAGTAAATCACGATCCAGTTAATGTATCTTCATAAACTAGTCACTTGAAAAAAGCAGCGTTGTGTTTTAAAAAACTTTCTCCTATATGGTTATTTCAAATGTCTTAGGACAGGGACATTCCCCATCCTAGTTTTTGAGAGCTGCAGGCAGAACAAAATTGGGGCCATAACCATGGTAAAAGTAAAATGAGATGTTGACTTTTGATTTCTTTGATTACAGGGTTAATGTGGGCTGTGGTCCAGCAGAGCAACGCCTTCTGCTCACTGGTCTCCATTCAGTTGCTGATATATTTTGTGAAAGCTGCAAGACTACACTGGGCTGGAAATATGTGAGTAAATTTCCTTTGCAAATGTAATTCCAGCAGTCAGTCTTGTAGAAGTGTCAGGTTCAGCCCAAGAACTACGAGGTCATCCCATACAGTTCAGATACTTTATTAGCTTGTACCTAATAGACAGAATCTCACCAGACTAAACTTATCTACAGCTACTATAGAATATCCCCCGTGAGACTCTAGGGAGGGGTCAGCCTCAACCTCTTCGTTTTCCCACAGTCTTGTTGCGGGCTGAGGCGGTGCTTGCCCTGGAATGTCTCTCCCCCCTCCTGACAACCTTGAAGCTCCATTCTAGAATCTTCCCCACTCATGCTATCCATCACGTCAAGGCACCCAAGCCAGGGAGATTCAGGAAAGCACTGTGATGCTATCCAATTGGGAAGACTGGTACAAATATGCTAGCTTTTGTATGGCCTCTCTCAAAACCATGGGGCTGTGCATTTATTTATAGATGCCAGTTGCTGCTTGTCACACTGTCACAACAGAAGCGTGATTCCTAGGGCTTTGTTATCTTCACCTACTATTTCACCTCACAATAGCAAAGTTATATTTTGTGTTGTAGGGTTTTAGAGAGGGGGAAGCACAGTCTATTCTATTGGGTTTATATCAAACAGAAGAGAATATATGTAGTTCAGGATTGAACTGTGGAGTCCTTGGTGCTCTCTGAGCTTGGTTGTGTGTGTGCAGACATTTCATTACCTGACTAGGTAACATCATCAGTGCTCAGTGCTGGGTTTATATCTCCTATTTCCTTCTTTGCCAGGAACAAGCCTTCGAGACCAGCCAGAAGTACAAAGAAGGGAAGTACATCATTGAGATGTCACATATGGTGAAGGACAATGGCTGGGACTGAGAGGGAAGTCTGGGTTCACACCCTCCTGCGTAGCATGCCTTGCCCTTTCGTAACCCCATTGCCACAAGTGGCATCCCAGCACATCCAACCCAGCTACCCTTCCATCAATCTCCTGCACAGCATCATCCAGGGGAGTGGAGCTTCCAGGATCTTTCTCCCCAGTGTCTTTTTGAAATGCTGGATTGACTGTTTGGAGGACCCTACCTATCCCCTACAGCAGAAGGGGAAATATGCAGGTGGTGGTGGTGGTGGTGGGAGACTAACATGGGAGATTCTGGATTGGTTTCTCCTTGACCCATGTAGGTTATATTACATCCACTGTTAGGATAACAGAACTGAGAACCTGGAATCAGGTTTGAACCTTGCAGTCCACTGTGTAAGAAAAACAAAATACTTAATGCAATGTGACAGCAAGGGCTCTGACATAAGGTATGCTTTGGGGGAGAGTCAACAGATCAGTTTCACATGTAAAAGCTGAAGAGACAGTCTCCAGTATCTCCAGTTTAAATAAAGAAGGGCTGTGACAGAACTTCAGCCATGGCCCTGGAGAACTACTGCCAGATGATGTTGACAGTGTTGAGCTGGATGGACTAATGATTCAGTTAATTATAAGGCAGCTTCTTGTTCTTCTCCTTTCTGAGGAGAAATTAAAAGTTGTACATCAGCCTGCTGATATTGGGCACTGAAGGTTGGATGAAATAGATCCTTCTGGGAGATAAAAGATATTCTGAAGGTAGGGACAGAGGAACAGTCTCTCTCCGAATGATAGTTACCGTTCCCTTTCCCAGACACTGCGTTGGTATTTTCCCCAGGTTTATTTTATTGAGTTCATTACTTTAGGTTTGAATTACTGTGTGCTTGCAATCCCTGAGCACTATGCCCCCTCCCTCAACTCCCCTACCATACATGAAGGGTAGGGCGGGGGGGGGGCAACACTTCAGCACTGTCACCAGCGCAGGAATTTTTTTGTATAATAAAATTGTTTTATATTTTAAAACAAACAACCCATACTACCAATAGCTTCTGTCATCCCGCTTCCTTTTCAGATTCAGTACCAAGCCAGAAGTTCTGTTGACAGGAAATTAGCTTTCTGCTGGTCAAAGTTTCCAGTAGGCATGGAATCCAGAAGTATTATCTGGCTACATAAATTTGAAATCTTTACACCAAGTCATGCAAAATATGAACCAGCATGTTTCTCCCCATGGATAAAACTGTATATTCAAAATTATTGTAATCTGTAAACTGGCTCAGATTATGCCTGGATCTTCCTTGTTTTATGTATAAAAAGAGTGAGCTTCCTTTTCCATAGTCTTTAGCCATATTCTAGAATGCAAAAGACACCCAATATATGTGAGCAAGTAACAATTATTTGATAGTAGGTTGCTGTACTGCCTCAAAAAGAGAACTGACCAATCTTTCAGCTATTGCTGATACCAAATCATGTTGGTATCAAATTTATCCAAACCCAGCAATTGAGATTGAAAACTCCTCTGAAAGGTGTGAACAGATAGCTCCTGTCATAGAAACCACGTTCTAGCAGGATGAAGTGGGGAAATAATATTTTTCTCCATCATGCCTCATGCCTTTCCACACCTGGCCTTTCAACTTTACCACCAATGGAAGTATTAAAGAATTCTTGCTGCTGTGGCCACCAACCCAATGCCCTTTTTACATTGCACTGCTTGGGTTGGGCTCAGTAGCACAATGTGAAAAGAGCCTCGGGCAGGGGCCGTGCCCAGTGCATCCGAAGGCCCTTTGCTTTCTCCGCAGGAACAAGAGAATTACCTTCTCATAATCTCACTGAAGGGTGAGAACTGGGATTTATTTTATCAATGTGCTTTTTTTTTAGAAGGCCCTCTATGGAATATTGGACTGCTGTA